TCGTGTTAAATGCAGTAAACTTGAGATTATGATTTGTGACATTAGAACAAACCATATGAATATGATAACATATGTATAATACTAAATTAAATAATGCTTGCTTATATATATATATTTTTTTTAATTTATTAAACATTTTCTTTTAATTAATGTTTGTATTTAACATGGACCATTACTTTATTCATTATTTCTGAAATTGCAGGCTCATTTTGTAAATGTAAGCATTTAAAATTTTAGACAAGTGCAAACTTGGTGCTTAATGAAAAATTTGTCACATTTACAAAATCAAGTGATTGTGTTCACCCATCCATGCAAATGTATGTTTATTTAGAGACAAAATAATTAGGTTAATCACTGTCTGTCATCAACAATTTAATTTGTGAAGACACTGATGAATGGTTCACCACAAAAAAAATCTTAAGGTTTTGGTTTGATTTTTTGTAAAAAAAAAAAAAAAAAAGAGTTTTTTTTTTAATGAATGGGTGAATGATGCATTTATATAGCACTTTATTGTGTATTGCTGTACACCCAAAGCGCTTTACAATCATGTGGGGGGGTCTCTCCTCAACCACCACCAGTGTGCAGCATCCACCTGGATGATGCGACAGCAGCCACAGGACAATGGCGCCAGTGCGCTCACCACACACCAGATACAGGTGGAGTGTTAAATGCTATCTAAAAGAATTCTAATATTAACATTTAAATTTTACGTTCAAATTTGAATCAACTTTATATACAACAAAATAAACAACCTGAAACAAATATGTTTATCTTATTTTTTTTGGTAGTTTTGTATTTCCTACAGGGTAGGGGAAGGAAAGAGGTATGTAAAATTAAAACAAAAGTTTCTAAGCAGTTGTACACATTGAAATGTGTTTGTTTGTTTATTTGTTTGTTTGTTTTCTTTCTCCAGAATAGGTCAAGATAGATTTCAGTCTATAGAGATACCTGCACTGGATGGCCAATTTCGCATGTATTTTGTGTATTTTCAAAATACAAAATACTGTATTTGTATTTAAATACATTTTTCCACACAGTATTTTGTATTTTTATTTTAAATACATTTTCATGTATTTATGCCCATCTCTGCAGGGCAGGGACGTCTAAAAATAGAATCTTGGTAAAATGACAGCAACGACCAAGTAAAATGAGTTCTCAGCCGAGCTGGGACTACAGATATTACCATTTCCACCCTTAGGGAGAAATAGGCAGATAAAATAGACAAAAATATGTGCCTGCAGGGTAGGGACGTCTAAATGATAGAATCTGGCAAATGTGGACAGCAACAAACAGCCAGCGGCCGAAAAATCTCACTTATAGAAATTCTGCTGGACCACGCCCAGGATGAAGCCATTCCTCTAATGGAGTGGGCCCTCACCCCTATAGGGCATTGCAAGCCTTTTGAGGCATAAGCCAAAACTATAGCATCTACTATCCAGCGGGAAAGTCTCTGCTTCGTAACCGGCAGCCCTTTACATCGGCCTCCAAAGCAGACAAATAGCTGCTCTGGTTGTCAGAAAAGACCAGAGAGTTGTGTTATGTACACTCTAAGAGCCCTAATGGGGCAGAGTGGATTGTGACCCTGCTCACCGTCCGCAGCGGGGAGCACTATAAGGATAATGACCTTGTCTGTAAATGGACCACACCCTTCTGAGAGCACCTTAGGCACATAACCTTGTCTTGGCTTGAGGATGAACTTACAGTGGTTAGGCCCAAATTCCAGACAGGAAGCACTGATTGACAGTGCCTGCAGGTCACCCACTCGCTTGGCTAACACTAATGCCAAAAGGAGGGCGGTCTTAAGAAACATGGGCCACAGGTCGGCCGAATGGAGCAGCTCAAAGGGACTATGGACAAGTCCCAGGTCGGCACGGTCTGAGGATGAGAAGAATTCAATCTCTGGGCACCCTTCAAGAACTTAATGACCAAGTAGTTTCTGCCGACTGACTGAACAGCTTTGAGGGAATTATTCGCTGCGATAGTTGCCACATAAACTTTGAGCGTTGAAGGAGCATTGTCCAACAACTCTTGCAAAAAAAGTCAGCATGTCGGACACATCACAAGAAACCGGGTCCAGGCTTTCGTGCTGCACACCAGTCACAGATGACTGACCATTTAAGGGGGTTAAGACGTCTCGTAGACAGTGCTCTAGCCTCTAAAATGGTGTTTTAGTGAAGCAGGCCTAGAGGAATCACAGAGTAGGTGGCTGCCATTAGGCCGAACATCCTCTGGAAACTCCTGAGGGGACACAAAGTTCCTGGCTTGAAAGATGCCGCCAGTCGCTGAATAGTCAGGGACCGTTCCGGCGTAAGCCATGCCCGCATCCGGGCCGAGTCTATAACAGAAAGAGGCCCTCCAGATGGCTGAGCAGAAGCAATCTGTGTGTTATTAGTTCCCGATCTGATCTGGCTAAAACCAGCCAGTCGTTGCTGTAACTGAGGATGCGGATTCCCATCTATCTCAGAGTCACTGTCGATGAACTTCGTAAAAGTGCGAGGGGCCAGAGACAGTCCAAATAGGACTGTATACTGATAGGCCACTCCCTCAAACGTGAATCTCAAGAATGGTCTGTGGCGGGGGGTTATGTGGATGTGAAAGTATGCATCTTTCAGATTCACTGTCATAAACCAGTCCTCGGGACAAACCTGTGCAAGGATCTGTTTCAAAGTTGAAGTCTGAGATCTAGAATAGGTCTGAGCCCGCCATCCTCTTCGGCACCAGGAAGTAGCAGCTGAAAAGCCTGACTCGCTGCTCGCTAGAGGTACGGTTTCCACGGCACATTTTGCAAGCAATGTTTGTACTTCGGACTGAAGAACATGAGCTTCGTTGTTCTGTACCAAAGTGTGAATAATACCTCTGAAACGAGGTGGCCTGCGAGCGAACTAGAGCGAGTAACCTCATTTTATCGTATTTAGAACCCAACTTGAAACACCAGGAATGGCTGCCCAAGCCTTGAACCGGGTGGCAAGAGGTTCTAATTTTACGAAAGGAAGTTCGCCTGTGCGAGGGCGGGGAACTTGCATTAGGAAGAGTGAGGAGAGGAGAAATGCTCTTTGTATGTGTCCGCTATCAGCGGTAGTTTGCTTGGGCATGCACTGATCTTGAAGGACATGCCCAGCTTGAATAAAACTTCCATTCACTCAGTGTTGAATGGAGGGATGGAGAGTGAGCGCAAGCTTTCTTAGAGGGAGTTCCAGCCTCAGCGAGAACTGATCTTCCTTTTCCTCTCAAAAGTGTTTCGCTAGATCAGTGCTCTTTCAGTGAGAGCAGTCAGCCTCCATGAGCGCAGCATGGGTGTGGCCCAGTCTTTGCTGCACGCATCTTTAGATCCGCCTACAAGGATAAATCCGTTCGATGCAGACGAGGGACACTAATCCTCACGAGTAAAACGCACTGGCAGATCAGTGTGTTGCAGGAAGAGTGAAGCACGCGGGACCTATGCCGGTGTGAAATCACTCCAGCCCTATTTCTCAGCCCCACGACTTCACAGTTTCATCCTCCGAGGCAACTGGGAGGGGAGAACGTGAGCGTGGGAGGGGCGGGGCCGCCGTCATTGAAAAAGGCGAACCGCGAGCGAAGCAGAGCGAGATACACGCTCTCATCGTGAGAGCGATCTATCTCAGTAAGCACAGCCCCAGCGTGGGCATGGCCCAGGCGAAAGCAGTGCACTCAAAATAGAAGCTGTCAGCGATATAGAATCGTTGGTGACAGCATTCTCCTTTGATCCGACTGAAAAGATTGAACGGCTCGAAGCAGACAAGGGGCGCTGATCTTTGTGTAAAACACACTAGCAGGTCAAAGAGCTGCATGGATCGTGAAGAATGCGGGGCCTGTGCCAGCGTGAATCACTCAATCCTGATCACTCAACCAGTGAGTTCGTTGTTTCTTCCTCCGAGGCAGCAGAGAAGGGAGAAACGGGAGGGGTGGGGTCGCCTTCATTGAAGAAAGCGATCCGCGAGTGAAGCAGGGACAGACTCATTCTTTCGCAGTGAAAGCAACCTGTCTCAGTGAACACAGCCTCAGCGGCACACACACACATATGAAGCTATCAGCAATACAGAATCATTGGTGACCGCATTCTACTCCAATCTTCCTAGAAGGATTGAGCCGCTGGGGCACTGATCCTTATGTGTAAACACACTGGCAGATCAAAGTGGTGGGGGAGAGTGAACATGCGAGCTCTATGCCGGCGTGAGTTCACTCGGTTGCTTAGCTCCGCGACTCACCATTTCTTTCTCCGAGCTTGCTAAGAGAGGAGAAGCGAGGGCGGGGCTGCCTTCATTGAAAGAAGAGCAGGACTCATGCTCTCAGTGAGAGCGCAATCTCTACGTGGGCGCTGTCCAGACAGGCGATGCACTCAGTGTGCCTTTCTGCATCGTGCAGGGCTTCCCTGGTCTCTTGTGCGCGACATTTGAAATAACGTCACTAGGAAATTTGCTCAGAAATTTGCTCTTTTAGTGCACCGGATAGCTGCAGGGGAAGGCTTCTGGCTTTTTCCTCTGCCAGGGCTCTTCGATGGCGGCGAGCTGCAGGCTGAGCTTCTTCTTTGGCTTTGTAGTCCAGCGTAAGCGAAGAGATGATCTTCATCGCTGAAGGAGAAATATACTGATGAAATGACGCTCTGAGCCGACTTATATAGAGGTCGGCTCTGCCCATTCTGGTGGGCTAGAGTGCCATTAGTTTGAGCAGCTACACAACATGAACAAATCAGGCTTCAGTATCAGTGTAAACAGGAGTTTCCACATACACAACGTGTTCGAAAGGGAACTCAGAATACACCTTAAAGCGCTATATAAATAAAGGTGACTTGACTTGACTTGACATGCTATAGATGCTGCTGACAGAGCTCAGGTTGTATTATATATTTATTTATTTAATTAATGAATAACTGGAATTCCATTTCATGTACAACAAGAAATAAAAATGTATACTCAAGGGCACATAAGTGATGTGGATAATTGTCACATAATTGTGTGAAACTTTTATTCTTCTTTTTGTAGACTGTGGGACTGTAATATTGGAGAGGAAGGCTGTGCTGCTCTGGCTTCAGCTCTTAGGTCAAACCCCTCACACCTGAGAGAACTCAATCTGAACTATAATAAACCAGGATGTTCAGGAATGAAACAACTCACTGCTCTACTGAAGGATCAGCATTGTAAATTGATTAAATTAATGTGAGTGCAGATGGTTTATTATATTTTCTCATTTATATCTAAGTTAATATGTTAGTTTTCAGTTATTTACCTCAAAGTGCTTTTTTAACTCTCAAACCCTGTGAGATGTAATTTATCTTTCTTTCTTTTTTTCAATAACACAAGTGTACCAATTATCCGCTTTATACATGTCACAGATACATAGCCACACACTTTTTCTACTTCAACAACTGCTTATCAATATTTAAGACTTTGCTCTTATACCTGTTAATTGATAATAATTGTTATAAGTGACAGGAGATTTGTTACAGGCTGTTTGACTGCAGTATTGGAGAGGAAGATTGTGCTGCTCTGATTTCAGCTCTGAGATCAAACCCCTCACACCTGATAGAATTGAATCTGAACTACAATGAACCTGGAGAGTCAGGGGTAAAACTGCTCTCTGCTCTACTGAAGGATCCACAATGTAAACTGGAGAAACTCAAGTCAGTATTCATAATTTCCTTTTATTTTTTTGGAGAATAACACAAACAAACTTTGGGACAATGATTTATTTTTTCTGTATATTCTTTGTATAACTAAAGCCTGAGAGTCATACTTGTATGAAGATAAAGGGTGTTTTCACACTTGAGTCCTCTTTTAAAAGAACCAAACCCAGACCCCTTTAAAGTACACTGAACAAAATTATAAATGCAACACTTTTGTTTTTGCCCCCATTTTTCATGAGCTGAACTCAAAGATCTATGACGTTTTCTATGCACACAAAAGGCCTATTTCTCTCAAATATTGTTCACAAATCTGTCTAAATCTGTGTTAGTGAGCACTTCTCCTTTGCCGAGATAGTCCATCCACCTCACAGGTGTGGCATATCAAGATGCTGATTAGACAGCATGATTATTGCACAGGTGTGCCTTAGGCTGGCCACAATAAAAGGCCACTCTAAAATGTGCAGTTTTATCACACAGCACAATGCCACAGATGTCGCAAGTTTTGAGCGTGCAATTGGCATGCTGTCTGCAGGAATGTCCACCAGAGCTGTTGCCCGTGAATTGAATGTTAATTTCTCTACCATAAGCTGTATCCAAAGGTGTTTCAAATAATTTGGCAGTATATCCAACCGGCCTCACAACCGCAGACCATGTGTAACCACAATATTTGAGAGAAATAGGCTTTTTGTGTACATAGAAAAAGTCTTAGATCTTTGAGTTCAGCTCATGAAAAATGGGGGCGAAAACAAAAGTCTTGCGTTTATAATTTTGTTCAGTATAAAAGGTTCCTCAGTATTATCAGCAGTTTTCGCATTGCTCAATAGCTAATTACCCTCCTCCATCCCCTACTCCTCCTCTGTCAGTCAGGATTCAGCCTTCTGATTCTCCTTTGAATCAGACTAATTCTAAAATGTGTACATAAGATTATTGAACTTCAACGATATCTGCAATACATTTATGTTGGTTCTGTTCTGTTTATGCTGGGGGGGGTTATCGCTGCTCTCCCTGCTCTCATCCATGCTAGGCTGCATGGATGCGCAGGGAGTTCTTGCACAGAACAGAACCATACCGCCAATCCAAACTATATGCTAAATGTCAATCATCTTTGACGATAGTGGTCCTAACAGAATTTATTCTATGGGGAGTTTTGGAATGTTAAATCAAAAATGGCTACTTAAATGGACATAGTCATTAGTGAAACTAAATGACTTAAAATGTTGTGGTACGTTTGCGTTTGTTAGGCTGTATGTGTGATATTTTTCTTCAATCTTGCTGTAGGTTGTCTAATTGCAGTATTAAAGAAAAAGGCTGTGCTTCTCTGGCTTCAGCTCTGAGATCAAACCCCTCACACCTGAGAAAGCTGGATCTGAGCTGTAATAAACCAGCAGACACCGGAGCAAAGCAGCTTTCTGCTCTACTGAAGGATCCACATTGTAAATTGGAGAAGCTCAAGTGAGTGTAATTATTTTTCAGTATTATCAAATAGATGTGCTGCTTGTGTGTACTCTTGCACTTGCAACAAACTGCAGCTGAAGGGCATAAAAGTGAGAACTCTTGTAATTTCATGACTTCTGTGTTGGTTAGCACAGCACTTACACACACACCCCATCTAACCTTGTTCTTCTATTCCCTGCTATGTGGGTGCACATTCACACCATTAGTGCACTGGATTCACACACACACACATCCATTCCATCTTTCATTCCCTAACAATAGTTCACGTTGTGCATATTAACACATACACACTTAACACTCAAATGTTCATGATGAATTTTCTTTATTGGTCTACTGTGCTGAAATGTAAGTGTAAAGTATATTTCTTCTTTTTTGAGGCTTTGGAAATGCAGAATTGGAGAACAAGGCTGTGCTGCTCTGGTTTCAGCTCTGAGATCAAACCCCTCACACCTGAGAAAACTCAACCTGAACTATAACAAGCTTGGTGATTCAGGAGTGAAGCTGCTCTTTGATCTACTGCAGGATCCACATTGTAAATTGGAGAAACTACTGTAAGCTTATTTTAATATATTATGTATTAAAGAACAATTTCGTAAAGATGTCCAAGCAACAATTTACCCAATTGACTTAAATTGTATGGACAGAAAAACACTTGATACATTTTGCAAAATATCTCCTTCCCTTCTAGTCGGTCACTCTTGATGTCACGTCGGATGACTGACATATTGGGATCTCGCTTAGAGAGACCAATCTACTTCGACTGTAATCTAAACGAGCCAATGCACATTGGCATGCAATTATTGCATCCAGCTGCCGCTGATCACAGCGTGAGTATAAGTAGGCAGCCGGTGCAGCGCATATTCAGCTTCGGAGCTGAGCGATCACATCGTTCTGCTCCTGACTACTCTACTGAGAGATGAAGACTGAACGAGTTCAGCGCGCTCTTTGAGAGCTCTTCGTTTTGGCGGTACGGCGCTTCAGCGGTGGTGGTTTCCCGTGTCGAGTGGGTTGCACACATCCGGCTGCACTACCCCCTGTTTGTGTTGCAGGCGGCCATCTCCCCTGTGCGCTTAAGCACGTTAAAAGAGCTTTTTCCCTAAAAGAGCATTTACGGATGCGTCTTTTTAAAGATGACGTTGCGTGGCAAACTTGTCGTTACGTCTTTGTAAAGACGATGTGGGTCTTGCTATAGACAACGTATCACCCGGGCGTTTCTGGATGCAGTCGTTACCTGGCGCTGGGTGATGGTCATGATCGCTGCCTCACGTACCTGGGCATTTAGCACACTGAGGTGGCGTTTGTGGATGAGTCATGTTCTCATTGTGGGAAGATGATCATCTCGGAGTCGCGGGCCAAGCTCCGTTTCCTCAAAGGGGCAGAGCTCTGTTGCCTCTGCCTCGGTCTAGTTCTCGTCATGGCGGCAGTCAGGCGGGGGCTACTTCAGGCAGTAGCACGGGCGGTCTGAGGGTAACCGTAATGGCAAACCCTCCAGGGAACCAACCCGCGGGGGACCATCACTCCTCTTGCACTCCGCAAACAGTTGAGCTGCCAATGTAACGTGCTTGGCCCTCTACAAGGAGCATACCATCAGTATCCTTTGGCGCTCTTCCCGACGACCGGATGTCGATTGCTGCATCGGAGGGTGAGCTGGAGCTTTCTGGAGAGGAAGATTCAGCTGCGCTGCTGTCCTCCAGGACTGTAGCAATGCCTGAATCGAATCCGGAAATAATGACTATGCTTTCCCGGGCCACCGTGAGGGTAGGGCTCGAGTGGAGACGATTGGTTTTTTCGGGGTGGTCCACGCTGGTTCTCAGCGCACCGCCCTTGTGCCATTCTTCCCGGAAGTGCATGAGGAGCGTACCAAGTTGTGGATGGCACCTTTTTCTGCCGGAAACCGACCTGCTAACTCCTCCTCCCTCACCACTCTCGACGGTGGTGCAGCTAGGGTGTATACGGGAGTCTCCCCGGTGGAGCTGTTGGTTGCGATGCAGTTGTGTCCTAATACCACCTCCACCCGGCAGGGCAAACCATGCCTCCCCTCCCGGGTCTGTAGGTACTCGTCTGGCCAGCGATGCTTATACGGCCTGTGTAGAAGCTGCCTCCGCCTTACACGCTATGGCGTTACTGCAGGTTCTTCAGGCTAAAGCACTGAGGGACCTGCACGAGGGTGGTCATGATCCGGAAGTTCCAAGAGAGCTCCGAACCGCAGCTGATCTCGCACTCCGAGCGACGAAGGTCACCGTGAGTTCTCTGGGTCGTGCAATGTCCACACTTGTGGTCCAGGAGCGTCACCTCTGGTTGTGTCTGGTCAACATGAGGGACACGACAAAGTTCGGTTCCTCAAGGTCCCTGTGTCCCAGACCGACCTTTTCGGCTACGCAGTCGAGAACTTGGTACGAGCCGTTTGCCGAGGGCGGCCCCCTGCGTCCACCCCCGAGCCTTTGCAGACAGTTGAGCTGAAGTTTTTGTCAATGAAAACTCTGCTCCTGCTTGCATTGGCCTCCATCAAGAGGGTAGGGAACCTGCACGCATTTTCAGTCGACGATTCATGCCTAGAGTTCGGGCCGGCTGACTCCCAGGTAATCCTGTGGCCCCAGCCCGGCTATGTGCCCAAGGTTCCCACTACTCCCTTCAGGGATCAAGTGGTGAGCCTGCAAGCGCTGCCACCGGAGGAGGTAGACCCAGCTCCAGCTTTGCTTTGTCCCGTCCGCCATTGAGATGCTACGTCGACAGGACGCAAAGCTTCAGGACCTCAGACCAGCTCTTTGTCTGTCACGGAGGCCGGCAGAAGGGGAATGCCGTCTCTAAGCAGAGGATGGCCCACTGGATTGTGGATGCCATCACCCTGGCTTATCATGCACAGGGTGTGCCCTGCCCGTTCAGGTTGCGAGCTCACTCTACTAGGAGTGTTGCATCCTCCTGGGCGCTGGCTCGTGGCGCCTCACTGGCAGATATTTGGTATATATTGATATATGGGCGACCCCCAACATGTTTGCTAGATTCTATAGCCTTCGTGTGGAGCCGGTATCCTCCTGTGTTCTCACCTCAAATGGGTAGAAGCACTGAGAGGCCCCGGCTTCGGGTCAGTTTGCGAAAACCGCTCCAGAGAGTCCATATCGTAGATCCTGTCGAGCTCCTCCATCCCTTCAGCAGCCAGACGTGGCGGAGCGTCCGGCGCCAGGCCCTCACTTGATGAATCCGTGAGAACCAGTAGAGGGCTGGGTTCCATATGTAGAGACCTAAGTGGATCCCATATGTGAAAAATCCACGGTATAGCCTCAGTGCCTGTGTTTCCCCAGCAGACTTCCTGCTATTTTTCAAGAGGGTTACAATCACCTCTAATTTCCATATGCACCTAAACGGTTGTTCATATGTGTAAGTGCTTCCGGAACCTCCTTCGGGAAGGATGGGGCTTCCGCAGCGTTCCTGTCACAAGTTGTATGGGTACGTTTTCCCAGTGTTATCCAGTCTTACTGAGTGGGTTGTGCCATAGCAGCAGTAGCTGGTCTTCCCTGGTAAGCCCTGGCCTACGCCAAAAAAAAGTAGGGGCGCAGGAGGCTTCCACGCGACACTGGAAGGGGCAGTACCTGTGGCCCTTTGGTAGGAATCCCAATTCGTCGGTCATCCGACGTGACGTTGAGAGTGACCGACTGAAAGGGAACGTCACTGTTACGTATTGTAACCCTCGTTCCCTGAAGGAGGGAACGGACAGGGAACGTCCCGTCGCCACAGCTTCTGTACCACCGTTGAGTGGCCGGGTCACCGGCTCGGCTCCTCAGCGAAAACCTGAATATGCGCTGCACCGGCTGCCTACTTATACTCACGCTGTGATCAGCGGCAGCTGGATGCAATAATCGCATGCCAATGTGCATTGGCTCGTTTAGTTTACACTCGAAGTACATAACAGAGAAGTTTTGTGTCTTCATAAGCAGCTGACATTTGGTTGTGAAAAAGCTGAACAACAAAGGTCTCAATTGTGTTTTTGTAGGACAGAGCTTGAAAAGGAGGAAGTTCCTTTCAGGGACTATTACAAATACACAGATCTCCTGTTCTGTATAATGTATAATATTGTGTAATTATGAAAGACATGTCACTGGAATGATGATTTGTTTGATTCTCTCTGCAGTTTGACTGAATGCAGTATTGGAGAAGAAGGTTGTATTGTTCTGACTTCAGCTCTGATGTCAAACCCCTCACATCTTAGATTCCTCAGTTTGGGCAATAATGAACTAGGGCACTCTGGAGTGAAGCAGATCTCTGATCTACTGCAGAATCCACTCTGTAAACTGGAAAAACTATGGTGTGTTTGTTATATTATTGTGAAAATATGATAATATTTCTGAAGAAGCACACGCAATTTATCCAAGAAGGCAAAGCAGGCAGTACTTTTTTTGGTAAAAATATGGAAATTGGCAACAATACAAAAATAAAATTGAAGCTCAAATAATAAGCTCAAATAATGTGTAAATCACTTATTTTTCTATAGTAATACTGTCCAACAGTGAAACCAGTGAATAACGTTTTCGAGAGAGGCAGCATCTCTTTTGCTTCTATTTGGTTAACGCTGTGTTTATGACTATATTTACAATTCAATTTACAATATTTACAATTATCTTCCCTTTGTGTTGGTTAAGCCGTTTAAGCTTAGTAATTAGTAAAAAAACATACATGACAGGTTACACACCAACACACATAAATGTTTACATGAAAACCTGAGATGTTCTTTATCTAAACCCAATGCAGGTTGTCTAACTGCAATATCACAGAGGAAGATTGTGTTGCCCTTGCTTCAGCTCTGAGATCAAACCCATCACACCTGAGACACCTGAATCTAAGTAAGAATAAACCAGGAGATTCTGGAGTGATGCTGCTCAATGCTCTGCAAAACGATCCATGCTGTAAACTACAGTGAGTGTCATTTTATGTTTACATTTATTTGTTTAATAGACACATTATCCAAATGAGCGTACACCTTTTTTAAATTGCTTTGGTACTATTTTCACATGGAACTTTTTCAAAACTCCACACAACAGATCATCAAAAATGCATTTTTTTAAAAAACATTTCAGCACATTTTGAATTGTGTTAGTACAATTCAGCAAATCACAAACATATCTTTTCACTACAGATAAGTTTTTAATCTATATCAGCAATTAATTCACAGCAACAGCCTTTCATAATGCTTTTACTAATCATTTGCATCTCTCTTCATTCAGTTTAATATTTTTCTGTCTTTTAATCCAAATGGTCTTAATGGTTAATCATTAAATAATTTGGTGCCTCTATAACTTTATATAGATATAGATTCTATATATACAGACATGTAACTGGCCTTACTATGGTAGAGACCGCCAAATTACTGTAACTGACCCTTCATCTGAATAGTTCAGCTGCAGTACAGATTCAGTCATATGGTACAGTTAATACATTTATTGTATTGACAGCAAACATATTTTGGTCCATTGTTCAAGAGATATTAGACAGCCAATAGATTGCATTTTTTCATTATTAAAAGGCTGGAATACACTATGTAACATTTAAAATCTGAAAAGATTTTAAAGCACTTGGCATCGTACACTTACCAACTTTGTAAATGGTTACAGAGAAAAACTGAACATCATACACTAAACCCCTCACATGCTCTCCACCCAGCATTTGAGTGGCCCCGCCTGCAGAACTCAGGGGAGGAGAGCCACCTTTGTTCCCAAAGCCATTGCATCGGCTAGATAGTTCCTCACTGGAAGATCTAGACTGTATGTATACTTTTCTATGTGCAACATGGAAATGAGGAAGGCAGTCCTTGCGGAGCGCCGGTGCATTATGGTTAAAAGCTCACGTATAGAAGTGTCAATAGTCAGCTCTGTAGAAATAGAAATCTGAGTTTCTATGGGATGAGGCAAATCAACTGGAGAGTTATTTTTATCTTTTCTCATTATTATCAACAGATTCTGTTGATGTCCTGTTCATGTTGATGACACCCAGTTGATGGTAGGTTTCTACACTAATGCCAGTTTTTGTACTCTCTAAAATCTCTGCAATAACTGAAATTATTTGGGTTACGTTCCCCAACCAACCAATGACTTCTATGAAGAACAGAACAATCCAGGGCCGCATTTTCCAAAAGCATTGTGAGACTGAGTAGACTGTGGAGACCTTTGGTGCAATTGGTTTACTATAAACTTAGGCTTGCAGTGCTTTTGGGAGTCAAGATTTTCTCTGTGATTACAAAATAAACACAAACCTTGAAAACCTCCACCAGGTGTGTCTAGAGACGTTATCAATCTAGAAACTCATCATATACGTTGATGGTTCCTGACTTAATGATGAAACAGTAAGGATCAGGATCAAATAGCTGAATTCAGTTACTATAAAATAATTAAACATAATAATGTGAATCTGTGAAAATATCTTGGAACTCTCCAGTTGATCGGACACATCCCATAGCAAACTCCAGTCTCCACAAGTATAGGTCTCTAATGAAAAAAGGGGGCGTTTTCCAATGATTGGGTGTTTTCAAACAAGGATAGGCATTTTTTTAACTATCAAAACAGTTAAAGTACTTAAAAGTATGGAAAGCCCTAAGAGGCCATGCAGTATAATTTCCCTTTTTCTTTCTTGTTTTTCTCATGATGGCAACTGTTTTGTTGTGTCTAGATCACGATAAAACAATTAGTGGTAACACTTTACAATAAGGTTCCATTAGTTAATGTTAGTTAATGTATTAACTAACATGAACGAACAATGAACAATACATTTATTACAGTATTTATTCATCTTTGTTAATGTTCGTTAATGAAAATACAGTTGTTCACTGTTAGTTCATGTTAATTCACAGTACATTAACAAATGTTAATAAGCACAACTTTTGATTTTAATAATGCATTAGTGTAAACCCTCTCTCCCGTGTCCTCACCGCCACACTTCGTTCTTGTTCTGAGTGGGTCTCTGGCATGGGAGGCGGACGCACTAACAAGGAGGCTAAAGAATCAGTCGCTAGTGCATCTCTTGAGATCAGGGGAGTGAGGTTTACCTGCACAGCATCTACTCGCTGGCCTCTGTTACACTTGTAAATGTTGAAATTAACATTTAAATGCTGTAGAAGTATTGTTCATTAGTTCATGTTAAAGGCACAATATTTAAGATTTTCGTAATAAAATATCCAAAAACCACTCGCACAGTGTCATATATTTCATGCAGTTGTGTACTTGCGTTGTCCCAAAAGTTCCCAAGGATTTGTAAATCCAGAGAAATTCCAATTTTAAATAATGGCTCATCCCGTTTCATCGGTTTATCGATTTCTGCTTTTAGAAACTATGGCAACACACGTGGACAAAAAAACGCTGCTGTACAGTTACACTAAATTCATTATGGCTGTCACGAATAAAATGAAAATGAAATGAAAAGTGTTGACTGCAACATTAAATTTAGACCATCAGTCTTTTTCCGTGTTTTTACAGTGTTGTGCGTTATAACCAATCACACACGAGTCTGTTGAGCTTATGAATGCAGCGGCCAATCAGAGGCGTTCAGATGAGTCATCGCTGAAATTAGTTTTGTTCAGTGCGTGTGCTTGCTGACTGAATTCTGCTTTCTCGAGGATTCTCTCATCATAAACAACAAAGTTCAGATGTATGTATGATGTATGTAGGAGATTCATTCACCAAACAGTGTATAGACCACTTTACTGATTCTAAGGGGAGGTTTTGAGAGTGCTATGTACGGTTCTTTGACAATGTAAATGTTCTTTGCTCACTTTCTCTGTATAATTTATTCACTGTTTAAATAACTTTGGAAGGTACAGGTAATAAAAAAATTTATTCATTACATCCGTGAACATGATTTGTGAATTCCATACGTCTCTGGATGGTGAAAACCATAGATATGTATAAAACCACATCTCCCATCGTTCAACTCTCCTTCATAGCGTCATCAAGCTACACCTTTGTTATTGTTTAGAAAATGCGACCACTAGCGTCGAAAACTTACATATTGTGCCTTTAACTAAAGTAGTTCATTCATGTTAACTAATGAACCTTATTGTAAAGTGTTACCCAATTAGTTATGTCAAGATCATGAGAAATCAAGAAATAAAGAAATAATGCTGCATGCTTTAGGACTTCTGTAAAACTGGGAAAAACGTTTTTCCAGAGTGCAATAGGCATAGACGAATACACAAACATATTAATCATGTATACATTTTGTGAATACATAGCCTTATGTGATATATAATTCTTGTGGCCCAGCCCAACCTAAAATCAGTTACTGACTTATGTCAGCGATTGTAATTACTGTAAGGATAAGGTCAGGCAAATGACAAATGTGTATGTAAAATACAGACTACAAACAGTAGCTATCTTTATTATAGAAATCTTTCATAAATCATATTTTGTCTTCTCGTGACCCTAAGCTACAGGTTTTTTATAATAGTTGATGTGCTACTTAATAACGCAGAACACAATGGCACTCTGAAAACTTTAAACGATGGGATCACTTTTTGATCATATAGACACAGTAGTCACAACTTGATGACAAAATTAAAACTGGTGATCCAACAAATAGAATAGCGAGTGTTTGTATGTTATAGTAGCCTAATGTTATAGTAATAGATAATGCTAACATTTAATAACACATCCCTGCATGTAATTATTTAGCCTAAATGCTATCTTTTTTTTTTCTCTGCTGTCCAATTCTGAAAGAAAACATGCCCGGACTTACTAATGAATGAACGCATGCAGTTTTTTCACAAGCAGTTGATTGACTTGTTAAGTTGTGGGTATTTTAGCAAACAGTTTGGTTCATACATTCAGTATATCAGCATTAAAGAGGGCAAATGTTATCAATAGTTGATGTGCTACTTAATAACGCAGAACACAATGGCACTCTGAAAACTTTAAACGATGGGATCACTTTTTGATCATATAGACACAGTAGTCACAACTTGATGGCAAAACTAAAACTGGTGATCCAACAAATAGAATAGCGAGTGTTTGTATGTTATAGTAGCCTAATGTTATAGCAATAGATAATGCTAACATTTAATAACACATCCCTGCATGTAATTATTTAGCCTAAATGCTATCTTTTTTTTTTCTCTGCTGTCCAATTCTGAAAGAAAACGTGCCCGGACTTACTAATGAATGAACGCATGCAGTTTTTTCACAAGCAGTTGATTGACTTGTTAAGTTGTGGGTATTTTAGCAAACAGTTTGGTTCATACATTCAGTGTATCAGCATTAAAGAGGGCAAATGTTATAATTTTACCAAACTGTGCACGTTTCAAACAAACAGCATTTCAATCCATGATGTTCTTTCTCCAACCATGCAATAAATGAAGGTCCCAGAATAAGCGCAGTTTCATAACGTATTTAATTCAACTGCTCAGGTAATGTTAGAGGTATGACCCATTCCAGAATTATGATTTAAAATTAGTAAGAGCTAGAAATCTATCTTCGTATTACAGGTAGCTTTATATTACGAGACTAATTTCTATGGTCTATGTTTTGACGTTCTCGCACCCTAAAGTTCCTTGAACACTGAGTCTGAAATTTCCGTATACGGTTTTTCATTTTCGTCATCCTAAAAATTTCATCACACACAGAAACCTTGCACATGGAGTCTGATGCGTATTAATTAATCCGTTGTGAAAAAAATTCACAAAATAATACAAAATGGAGTCTTCAAGCTGTGAGGATGATTTTGTTGTCCTCTCTCTTCTTAAAAAGAGAAAAGAAAGATGGAATATTGGGTCCATACAAACCAAGGAGCGTTCCACTTCCTTATCAAGGAGCTGCGGGATTATCCTGGGCGATTCAAAGTTTACTTTAGGATGTCAGTGGCTCAGTTTGATGCATTGCTAGCGATACTGGAGCCACATATTAAAAAGAAGACCACCAATTTCTGTGAACTCAGTGTGCAAGGACCTATACATTGCTTTGTGCTGCGAGAAGAAGTGGATCAACTTGTCAGACGCCATTCTAGATTTTGGCTTTCGCTTGTACAGTGGCTCTGAATTGCCTCTAAAAATGCTTGCTACGGATGCAAAAAATGCAGAAAATCGAACCTGATCCCAATTTTTTATGACGGACTAAAGTTTCGGAGGCAGTGTGTAAATGTGATTGACACAATGTGAGGTCGTATTTATTTTTTAACATGCGAAAATTTCGGACTCAGTGTGCAAGGGCCTTAAGTCGAAGTAGTTTGCTTGGAGCATTTTATAACTAACTGGTTAGCTTGAGAGAAAATTCACACAATTTAATCAAAATCGTTAAACAACTGGTAGTTTACCATAATCCGCTTCATAAACATTGTTCATATACATGCAATCTCTCTCAGTGTTTTTCAGGTTATGGCCCACTCAATTTGATCAAATCAGGTAAAGATGCTGAAAAATGCCCTGAAATTGAGCTCTCAACCAGTGATGCACTGGAGCTCTGCAAGGACTGCCGCCCTCATTTCCACGTTGTACACGTAAAAAAATCAAAAGAAGTAAATAAATCCAGAAATCAATACATGTGGGAATAAATCAATATAAAATATAAATGAACACATAAATACATTTAAAAATACAAATAATAAAATAATAAATGATAGAATAAGTAATTCAAAATGTAAAAAAGAACAAACATAAATGTAAAAATCAATACAGAAAATAATAAATAAAGGAAAAAGTAATAAAATAAATGCAGGATTAAATGTTATTACAAAGTAATTATATTTGTTTTATCAAGTCATTAATTCATTCATTCGTTCATTTATTTATTCATTCATTCATTTACTTATTTATTTATTTACTTACTGCAGGTTTGGTCCTGCATACAGTATGTTTTAAAATGTCTGATATCCTCTGACTGAATAGTCAACCTTGCTTCCAGAAATCACTTGGCACTTAAATCATTAAATCTTTTTGTATTATTATTATTATTATTATTTAAAAAAAATAATAATCTAAGAACCTAACGCATGCATTGTGAACTAGATGGTTCTTTTTCATTATCGTGGCCATCCATCTTTGTGACTGACAAACATATATGGAATTAGAATTTTTTGATAACTGTTTATTCGTGTCTCAATTCCAGATGTTTTAACTGGTGAATACGCTGGGAGGACAAGACAAAAGATTTAAGAGAAATACTATGTATACTACTGCATTGTACAGCCATCATGAAAGGCATTCTAACAGGGACTCTTGTAAGGACTCTTCATCTGCCCAGAAAAGTCTTAGACCACCAGGTCTGAGGTGTCAGACTTACTGATGGGTGACCCTGGCTGTCTCATTCAACTTGGGACAGCACAAGACCAGCACTGACCAGATGTGGTTACAGCACTCAATACAGCCCTAAGATCCTACTAAATCTAGGTATAATAGTATTAACTAATAGCATTAATGTGTGAGCTATATACATTTCGAAGTTTCTAAATCCAGAGCATGGCCCAGCTAGACACACTCCTCCTCTGAGCTCATGCCACTGAAATGAATTAGTACTCGGGTGAAAGAAAGATCCACCCAGGTTAGGCTCTGTTTTTTCTCTCCATTTATCATTTCACTTTTGAAAAGCATTACCATGGTGAATCCTCCTGTTATTGTAGATTTGGCTCAATCTCTGATTACACTCTCTTGGTCATCTCACAGACCTTTGTTATCATTACAGTTTTGGTGTTTTATTTTGTTAGTTACCCTTTGTTTCTTTTCAACATGCATATCAGTGTTTTATATTTAACCTTTAGTGCTGTTCATTGCTTAAAAAAAATCCTCAACACCTTTTTATGTGTATTTTTAAATATGTGTTTATCTTGATACAAGCCCATTTTTGAATGAAGAGCTGCACTTTGATTATCTTTGCTTAAAAGTTCCTTTCAATACACATTAGTATTGTTCGATATCGTAACAAAAATTGTAAATAATATTAAACGGTAATGACAAAAATAAAATCCAACAAGCCAAAATATAAGGTAATGAACATGTTCAGGGCTTCAATACAAAGCATTATGGGCTTAAGCACAAGATACCGAATTATTTAAATTCAGTAAATATTTTATGTCCTATAAATAAAATAAAATGATGAGTACTCTGTTGTAATAGAACATAGTGAATTACTAGTAGTGATTGTAACAGTTCAGGTTTGCGTGTGCACGTGCGCCCTTTTGTGCAGATTTATATTGTGTAATTGATTAATCTCAAATATGATGTTCAGAGATGATTGCAAATACACAAAGTATTTTGTTACAAATGTATTTTGTTAAAAGCATTTTGTTACTTGCTCATCAAATCTATCAAAATAAAATACAAATGTGTGAGGAAATGTAACTAAATACAAGCGATTTTTAATTTGAAAATTCAAAAATACATTGCGTGTACAAAATGTACTAGTAATTATTCGATCAAGTGCAAGACACAGTGTTATTACAGTAGTGTTAGATAGACGTTTAATAACAGTGGAGTTAGATACTGTACACACATAAGAGAAAGAGAAGTACTTTCCCTAACAGTGTCAGAAAACAAATGTGCAAACATTGTACCTTTAGTAGAACAACAGCTTGTCACTGGGGCAGTGCCCTCAAAAGGACACCTTAAAAGTTCCTTCCAATACTCATTTTTTTTGCACTTTTTTACTTCATACTTCATTTTACAAAACAACATATTCTGTAACCGTAGACACTAAAACAAATTATATGCAAGCATTAGCCAGGATAGTGCCAATTAACAATAAGAACAAATATGAAAATTTAGTTGTTAATGACACAGACAATCAGCAGGTTTATTAGCCTGCTGTCACTTTAAGATGGACACAAGGTTCCAATATATTGATCCATATTTCTCCCAAATGTTTCTGTTCACTTAAGACCAACCAACTGTAATTATGTGAATACTTGCCAAGACATTTATTTAGACAGTTCAAGTGCAATACACCTCTAAAGAGAACTGAATAATGAATAAGGTGCCTGAGGCAAATAAAAAAAAAATTTTTAAATGTAGAAAACAAAAAGTAGATACGTTACCTAGCAGGCTAACATCACTAGTCAAGAGCAGGTAAATTCACAAGTTCTAGAGCATCACCGCTATTTGCTAATTGCTTTATTTGTCTGTCCTATAATGACATTCAGTGAGCAATATCTGATAAACTGATAATCCAGTAAACACTTCATTTTAGGGCAGTTTGCACTGAGCACCAAAGCAGCTTTCCAGTTGGGTCCAACCCAAGACGAATTAAGACTCTCCTTAATTCGTCTATGGATCCAACAGGATGTGTCAAAAAAGGTTATAAGCTATATTTGGTTAAGTTGGTTAAGTTACTGTATTTTTTTAGACTAAAATGACATAGTATTTGATGAAGTCTCTCAAAATATTTAATTACAAATTACATCTGATTATTTTTCTTGTCCAGCAAAATAGAAATTACAAAATGAATTAATTTTACAAAAGCAATTAAAAACTGAAATGTAATTAAAATACCATATCTGATGATGTTTAGGGGAGTTATTGGTGTTCACTGATTCTTCAACTTTAAAACAGCTTGGGGAGTTTATATATACAGTGGGTACGGAAAGTATTCAGGCCCCCTTAAATT